AAACGTCCCCCATCAACTCCCCGATGGAGCTGCTACAAAAACGAGCCATAATGCTCTTCCAGTGCACACAGCGAACAGCTTATCCCCCCCAATAAGAACACATCTGGATTCTCAAATTACATTTATTAAAAGATAAAAGTAACAGAGTACAGTATATCTCATCCTGACCTTCAGTCTACAGCACTGTTACTGGAATAAGAAAGGCTCATAAAATGCAAGAGCCTCCAGTAAAGTACCCACTGCATGCAACTGCCAAATTGAATTTTCAAAACCATCTGGGCCTACACAATACCCTACAACACCAAAAAAATATAATAAAATGATCAGACTGCTCAAATGCTATCTGTCCCCATAAACAACCATGTGTGACTTATTTTATCTCCTCTGTTATTTTTATTCCTGAACATCTTGATGCATCCAAAATCTGTGGCAAACACCAGGAGGACCTGGTCTGACTTCAGCGTCTAAACGTGTTCCAGCTAATGAATTTTAGAAATCAGCGGGAGGTCAGTGCCTGGTCATTCAAATTCCCAAAAGGAAAGCCTAACTGTAACATCGACAAATGACAAACTGAGTCCAATTCATTATGTAGAATAGAAAAACTGCAGAGGTTCCTACCCCGGGGAAAAAAAAATTGGAAAAGCAGAGGGCAGCTTTTCAAAACATGGCCATGACCATTCTTAAAAATTCCAGCCAGAGCAATAATCAAAGTTTGTTCCTCATGTAATATTTAAGAAGATTATAATTTCATATGTACTGGATCTTCACTGGTAGTGACATTAATACAAATACACTGAAAGCTTTATTTAGAAAAAATAAATAAATAAAAATAAAAACTGTAATGTAATTTATGAGGAGAGCAGAGGAGAAAAAACTCACAACACCGGATTATCCAGTGACCTTGTCTTGAAATTGTTGCAAAGGCTAGGGTTAGGGTTACGTGTACTTTATCCACACCTGGATTAGTTCATGTTGTCTCACGTCTAAGCTCAAATCTCTTCTTGAAACATTAGCGCCATTGACTCAGGCACACTCAAACACTTCTTCAAACACCAACGCACTCTGTAACTCGATCCTGTGTAAGAGCTGAAGTCGCCAATTATATCAGTTTAAAAAAAAAAAAGCTGAACAATTTCACTAATTTAACATCTGGGAGAATTCAAACACCTGCACTAACTGCGAGGAGATATGTAAATGAACTAATGAATTTTCTCAGATCTCTGGTTACCATGAGGTTTTGCATCTTTTTTAGGGTGATAAAAAAAATCCTCAATTCCAGTATTAGAGTTCAAAAGTTCCCCAGTACCGACTACAATAACAGCCACATTAACGTGTTTGTGATGAAAAGCCCTTGGAAAGATTCTAATCTACAGTATGAATTCGAAGGTGATCTCATAACCATCTGCTGCCGTTTCCTGCTGTTTAGGAAGAACCCTCCGAATTCTGGGTTCGCTAAACTAATACTGGACAAAATACATTGTGCGTTTTGTTTCTGTTGTTTTTAAATGAACGCGTTACATTATCATCACAGCGCATCTCTTCTGTAGCAACATAACCTGATAAATGCCACCAGTGGAGCTTCCACAGCTAGATAATAATGTAAACACTGGCAATATTTAATCCTGTGTGACTGAACTAGAAAGCAACAAGATGCAGTAACTGGATAAAATCTGAAAAAAGACAAATATTTCCATTTAATAAAAATCCTGAAAGAAAGTTTTGCACCAAAGATGCTCAGTATACATGGTAAAATATGATATGTTATAAACGATGAGCAAAGGAAAACCGCTGCAGAGAAAGATGCATCTCTGTTACAATTTATTAACATGAAAAACCTGTGGAGAAAGGTGAATCAGGGAATACAGTGTTTTAAATTATAGAAATATGGTACATAAATTTTTTTTAAGTAAAAACTGTACTAAGAGGCTCATCACACTGCAAATGCCAGATAAAATTCTTCATCCAGCCGGTGGCTCAAACACTGGTTTGAGCTAAATGCTAACATTAGTATGCATGGTCTTTACCAAATTTCACGGCAGTGCATCCATAACAACAAACTTCAAGGTAGTGCTAGTTAAACTGTCAGGATCCACTAGAGTCACTGTTCTGAGAACAATGAATGTATGTATAAAAATGTGCCAATAGAGTCTCAAAGATGTTTAGTTGGTTAAGTGAAAACTCGTCACTAGGATTTATACTCCGAGCACCAAAGACATCAAGATTTCATTGCAATCCATCTAGTATTTCTTGAGATGTTTCACTAAAAATAAAATAACTTCATGGTATCAGGGGATCAAAGCGAAACCAAAAGGCCCCATCAGGGCGCCATAAAAGCCTGTACAAAATGTCATGCCAATCCATCTAATAGTTCAGAAATTGTGTAGACACACTGCCAGCAGGCTTTTAAATAGCAGGGAAAGAAATTAACAGTGGCCTATAAAATAAAGCAAAAACAAACACCAGAATCTAATATTTGTTTTAGTAGAGAGCAGTTAGTACTGATTTGTTCCAAGAAGTCTCTGTAACTGGGAACTACCATTCTTAAACATAGAATCAAGTGACTTACCAGGCCTGGGTGACGGCTCATAGCGAGGCAGGCACTAGGACCTGCAGTGCTCCAACATGCAGATGGAGCCTGCAGCCTTTAGGAAGCTTCAAGCTTCTCACTTACTTTCAGAACAATTTTCAAACAAGTGCAAGAGTCAGAAAGGACCGTTTAGAATAACTGACAAAGAATTTGTTCCTTCTCTCTGTGGCATCTTGTGGAATTGGACCCAAACTGGAATACATTTCAGGAATCCTCTGGAGTCTTACGTCAGTGGAGACAAGTGGACCTTTGCAAAGGTAGAAAATCATTTTACCTTCAGCTGCATGGATCTACACTCACTCACTACAGTTTATAAAATGGAAAGCAACAAAGTAGATTTACGTTTGTTAGATTAGAACAATTCAGACAGTTTTTCTTTTTTAATATTCAGCAGTTTTACATGTACACCTTTCAAATTAGAGTAAGACCTCTATCAAGGTTATGAACTCAGTGTTAAACAGGGTAAACTTTCACATGCATCGCTTTAGACATTTTTCCTGTTTCTGTATATAATGATAGTTACTTGCTGAGGATTTTAATAAAATTGTTACAGATTAAACTGCTAGCAAGGGTTCAGGTTTGAAGGTCCAACCCAACGGGGAACTGATCATCTCCTCCATCCCCTCAGAAACCACTGCAGCTTAGCCTCAGGCTCATCAGGTTACAAAAGCACCCTATTCTATCAGACC